AAAGTGCATTTAAAAGATATTAGCGTCACAGTACACCACAATTAAAAGTACACATTTTAAGGCAGTGTATGTATTATTGCATTAATGTGTTCATTACTACTATGTTGGTGAGTGTGGGGTTTATTTGAAATACTTTATATACTGTAGTACTGGGTGGCTTAACCTATACTATTATAGAATAATGTATATCATATTTAATTATATTTGCTATTGTTATTCTAAATCTGCAAAGTACTTACATCTGTACAATACATGTAGTGGAGTAAAAAGTACAACATTTGCCAAAGAAATGTAGTAAAGTAAAAGTATAAAGTATTTGAATGTGAAAATACTCAAGTAAAGTACAAGTACCTCAATGTTTTACTTAAGAACAGTACTTGAGTAAATGTACTGTACTGTAATGTATGTATTTATTTTAAAGATGTAGTTACTAGGTACTTTCTACATAAATAACATAGTGTTTATATAATATATCTACCAGAAGTACACAAAGTATTCAAAATGTTCCCGACAACGACAAATAACAACATTAAAATACTCTAATATGTAGTTTCTAAACAGGATAATATAATATTGTATAATAATAAAACACTTTGATAAGAGCCATCCTGCACAATGAGTACTTTTAGCTGATATGTACTTTCACTCTTACCTGAAGACTTTTACTTGTAATGGAGTATTTTCAAAGTGTGGTATTAGTACTTTTACTTAAAGGGGACCTATCATGCAAAATGCACTTTTGTACGTCTGTTATACATGAATATGTGTCCCCGGTGTTCCAGGGAACTCACCAAGTGTCAGAAAACACAACCCTCTCTATTTTCCTCCATACCCAAATCTCTAAAAAAGGGGCTGCAACGGATCTGATAAAAACTGATCCAGATTTGAACACTGTCCTGACGTCAGGACAGTGGCGCTACGGCTATTGGGCCAACTCCACCAATCAGGAGGAGACAGCCACGGCCATTGCCGTTCGAAAGCGCTGGAGACGCTGTAGTACATATGCCAGGCCAGTAGATGGTGCTGTTCTCACTGAATCTGCCCAGAGCTAGAAAATGTCAAAATGAGCAAAATGAGGCATGGCTAAAATGCATGATCTGTTTGGTATTTTGAAGAAAAAAAAAGTATAAATATGCCTTATATAGGTATGGTCCTACACTATATTATTCAAATATAGCATGATAGGTCAACTTTAAGTAAATGATCTGAATACTTCCTCTACTGCTAGAAAATACTTTACTACAAGTAAAACTCCAAGCCCTGCATTCACAACTTCACTTAAAGGTCACCTATCATGCTATTTTTAGGCAATAGCATAGGTCTCAGATATATACAAATATATAAAAAACATGTCTATGAAGTGTTTTGCTCAAAATACCAAACAGATCACCCATTCTAGCCATGCCTCATATCCCTCTATTTCACTTCCTGTTTCAAAAGTGCTGATTTGGGGTATAAAGCTTTTTTTTTTTAAATAAAAAAGCAGGGTCTGAGCTCATGCAGGACCCGGCAGCTACTGTCTAAACTAAATACTGCGGTGATGAAACGCCATATCATGGATTATCAAGGATTATTTCTGAAACAGTATGGAGCTCAAAGGCTTTCTCTCTTGCCGGTTATACCACAAGGTGAGTTCCTTTTTATTTCCTGCTTCTTCACACACATGCTCTCCAGTACAGGTTAGCTCTGAGTGTTAGCGATGCTAATGTAAACACCGACCATATTACGTCCAAAACAGTCGGGCATTGTTTCTGATAGCAACGTTTCTGATAGGGCCGTGGGTCCACATTTCAGATATTACGTCATATCGGACGCAAATCTGGATCAGCTCCGTTGTAGCCCCGTTTTTAGAGATTTGGGTACGGAGGAAAAGAGAGGGTTTTATTTTCTGACGCTGCGTGAGTTCCCTGACACACCGGGGACACATATTGATGTAGAAAAGACATAAAAAAGTGCATTTTGCATGATAGGTCCTAAGTGAAGTATTATCAGCAAAAAGTACCTGAAGTATAACGTAAAAGTATTAAATTATGAAAATACTGTAAACTAGAACTTTTTAAAGTAAAACCTTCCATTTGAGACGATAATATTTGCACAATAAATGACATTAAATGTTCTAAAAACAGATGTGAATGTTTTATTTCAGCGTGACTTGGATAACCTCTTATGTAATTTGATTTATAACAAAACATCATATGTTATAAACGTATGTAAAGTATGTTATGTAAGGTAAATCAAACTGCAGTGGAAGAAAAAGCACATTTCCAGCCCTGTAAAAAGCAGGATGTTACAAAGACTATGTTGACAGTGTGATATCAGTATTTTAAAGTAAAGGCTCTGAAATCAGCTGCAGGACACTTTGAGTTTTGTCGCGGTTACACAATCCTTTTATGAAGTCACACTGGAGCACACCCAGAGTGTCATAAAGATAAAAACTCTGAGACTTAGGCAACACAAATCCATTTATGAAACCTGCACCAGTTTCTACATTTACACAGAAAACTGCTTAACTCCAGCTGATGCAGAGCGACCTTTCCTCCAATCATTCACGGTTAAAATCAACATTACTGGAGCGGGAATACATTTAAATCTTTCTATTATCTTACATCGTGTTCTTTTTGGTATCTTTGTTTAAGAATGTTCCTGATTAACACTTTTAAACCTGCTGCCATGACTTTAAAATGTGGAGTTTAACGCGAGTATAATGGAGGTAAATGTCAGAATGACCTCCTTAGGAAAGGCTTTCTCCTTGGGAAAGTCAATATACGCTCAGATCTGATGTCGTAATGCAACCTTCTTATCAGTTCTCCGACACACTGATGCTGAAACTCAACTAAGGACATTTAGGACTCACTCTTTTTAACGGAACATTGATTATTGTTGCCGAATCACAAGGGGAGAAAACAGTTATTAAAGCATACAGTCATGAGATGTTGGTGAAAGTCACTGATTACACAATCACTTCAAAGCTTGTTAATGTGATTATAATCAGTTTTGCTCAACCACACTCTGTCTAGCTGTGGTGATAAAGGAGTGTTTAAGTAGCATTGTTTCTGACAGGAATGTGTGCAGCATGGGTCAAACTCTACATTTGGTTAATGAGTAAAGACCAAGAAGCAGAAGAAGAAGGGAAGGTGGCTCATATAGAACAACTCACAAGCTTGAAAATAGAGAGAAAAATGTGTTTAAAACTATAAAAACACACATTATTGAGCTTCAAATCTCATTTTCGTCACTTTAACACATAAACCCACGGCCTTCCTTTCACACAGGAACCAGGAAGAGACTTTGAAGTGACGTATTTAACGAAATTAATCACAAATTCTTACTGTTTTGGGCATCTTGGCGGAGGTTTTTGAGGGGGCTCCAGCAGAAGAAAGTGTTTCCCAGGCGGACCGAGGCTGCAGTGGGCGACTGGCAGCAGAATCTCCACCTGATAAAGAAAAAAAGGCAGCTCCGCTACGCTGACAGACTGAAGGGCAGGGCTGCTGTCCTTTGAACTCGGCTGCAGATCGCTCTCAGTGACGTGGGAGGCGCAGCGATCACACACACTTTCCAGAGAGGGGACTTACCTGCAGCAGTGAGACCACGAACAGCTCCACCTAAAGACAATCTCCTGCTTCAGCACAGGAAGTGGTGACCTTTGGTCGGCGCGTGCACGGCTGTAAAAGGCCCGGACGAGCTAATCATGCTGCCTGCCTGGAGGTGACATGAGTGAGTCATGAGCGGCCATAACGACATCAAGATAACGTCTGCTGGTGGTGAGACTCAGGGGACAGAAAGGTCTCGAGCAGTTTCAGATTTACACACTTTAATGACGAGGGTACAGGAACAACAAAATCAGGATTCACAGAGATGTGGACATAGACACGTTTTTATCTTTAAAGAGGACATATACTGCTCATGATCAGGGTCATATTGTTTATCGTTACATAGTGATGTCATGGAACTTTGGGATTTTAGCCTCTGCAGACCATTTACATGCACACAAACGTATAGAATACACTACAGGAGAGGGAAAAACCCTAAAAGCAGAATAGGGCCTCTTTATAGTTTGATTTATGGCACAATGCTTTGAGAAAACAAAATGCAGGGCTGTGTTATCAACTCTTTTTCAATTAAATTGGCTCCAGAAGTCGCTAAAAGTGGCTCATGTTATACTTATATCTGCCAAGAGGAGGGGAGGGAACATCAGTTTACTTCAATGACTCTGAGCGGCATTAGAAGGACTTACAAAGTTATATCCTTAATTATATATATTTTAGAGGGCAGTGCAGTTTAATGACACCAATGGGTAGAAAAATCTAAAGACATATCGGTTCCACTTTACAATAAGACTACCCTTATAAAGGGTTTACGAATAGTTTGTAATTCATTTATTAATTAGGTTGTGAACACTTTATAAATCCTTAATAAGCTTTTATAAGACATGAGATAAACAGGGTAACTGTGACCGGTTGCTTGCCAAATAGTGAGCCCACATTTATCTGTACTGCTAAACCTTTTTATAAATGTTAGTAACTCATAAATAAATGGTCATAAAGAGATGCCAAGAAACATCAAGATGGAAGGGGGGGGAATCAACTCAGTGAACACCAGATACCAAGGATGCTGGCTGATGAAGGAGACGAAGTAAGCTAGGTAGCCAATATAAGGCTTAGTCATCTTGCCAAATAGTGAGCCTGTGTTGATGTATGAAAACTATGTTAGAACTGGTTCTTAATGATAAATAAAGTGTTTACAACCTAATTAATAACCTAATTATAAACCCTTTATGAATCCTTTATAAGTCTTATTGTAAAGTGGTACCGACAAATCAAATATTGGAAGAATCAATTGACAGAAAAATTATTTTGTTTTTTGGACAAAGTCATACATTTGAAAGACATAATAATCATGAGTTCTGAAAGACTTTTGACAATTTTCTGAATTTGTATAGCCTAAAGATTAAACTCTTCGCTATCAATGATGAATAAAAAATGATAAAGCATACTAACATCTAATTCCAAGGAGAGTTTTATTAAATATGTCTACTCAGTATTTCATAATCTGAACAGAAAAAGGGTACAAAAAGTGTTGAAATGGTTTGAAAGGCATTGTGCAATTAAAGCTCTCAGATAATAAAGCATAATGTAAACATTTAGTTCAAGTAAATATCAATAAAACACATTTCTATATGTATTTGTTCTTCTCTTGTTCACGTAATGCACTCAGCATTCGAGGGATTCAAAAATGTAAAAACCTTCTTCATGATTATAGCTTCCATAAAAACAACAACATGAGGTTAGAACTCATCTTTGCTTTGGAAGAGAGGCTGGTCCTCAGGTCTGAAGTCTTTGTTGGGACTCCCGTCCTCCGTGAGGATTCGAGACGCGGTGTAACCCACGATGGGATACTTGGTTTTATACGTTCCCTCAAACACACTCTCCAGAGACTCCAGCTGGTCCTCGCTGAGGCCCGTCTATAGGGGGGGGGGGAAACAAGACCTTTAATTAACACGTTTTGATCTGGGGCTTTTAAAGGTCACCTATTATGCAAAACCCACTTGTTCATGTCTCTTCTACATCAACATGTGTCCCCTCTTCTTCATGTCTCTTCTACATCAACATGTGTCCCCTCTTCTTCATGTCTCTTCTACATCAACATGTGTCCCCTCTTCTTCATGTCTCTTCTACATCAACATGTGTCCCCTCTTCTTCATGTCTCTTCTACATCAACATGTGTCCCCTCTTCTTCATGTCTCTTCTACATCAACATGTGTCCCCTCTTCTTCATGTCTTTTCTACATCAACATGTGTCCCCTCTTCTTCATGTCTCTTCTACATCAACATGTGTCCCCTCTTCTTCATGTCTCTTCTACATCAACATGTGTCCCCTCTTCTTCATGTCTCTTCTACATCAACATGTGTCCCCTCTTCTTCATGTCTCTTCTACATCAACATGTGTCCCCTCTTCTTCATGTCTTTTCTACATCAACATGTGTCCCCTCTTCTTCATGTCTCTTCTACATCAACATGTGTCCCCTCTTCTTCATGTCTCTTCTACATCAACATGTGTCCCCTCTTCTTCATGTCTTTTCTACATCAACATGTGTCCCCTCTTCTTCATGTCTCTTCTACATCAACATGTGTCCCCTCTTCTTCATGTCTCTTCTACATCAACATGTGTCCCCTCTTCTTCATGTCTCTTCTACATCAACATGTGTCCCCTCTTCTTCATGTCTCTTCTACATCAACATGTGTCCCCTCTTCTTCATGTCTCTTCTACATCAACATGTGTCCCCTCTTCTTCATGTCTCTTCTACATCAACATGTGTTCCCTCTTCTTCATGTCTCTTCTACATCAACATGTGTCCCCTCTTCTTCATGTCTCTTCTACATCAACATGTGTCCCCTCTTCTTCATGTCTCTTCTACATCAACATGTGTCCCCTCTTCTTCATGTCTCTTCTACATCAACATGTGTCCCCTCTTCTTCATGTCTCTTCTACATCAACATGTGTCCCCTCTTCTTCATGTCTCTTCTACATCAACATGTGTCCCCACTTCTTCATGTCTCTTCTACATCAACATGTGTCCCCTCTTCTTCATGTCTCTTCTTCATCAACATGTGTCCCCTCTTCTTCATGTCTCTTCTACATCAACATGTGTCCCCACTTCTTCATGTCTCTTCTACATCAACATGTGTCCCCTCTTCTTCATGTCTCTTCTTCATCAACATGTGTCCCCTCTTCTTCATGTCTCTTCTTCATCAACATGTGTCCCCTCTTCTTCATGTCTCTTCTACATCAACATGTGTCCCCACTTCTTCATGTCTCTTCTTCATCAACATGTGTCCCCTCTGTGTAAAGAGACTCTGAAAGTTTCAGGAACAAAGATTCTCTCTCTTTTCGTCCTGATCCATTTATATAAAAACCTGTCTGAAAATGAGCTGATCAGATTTTGGCCACTTTATGATGTCATAACGATGTTTGGCTTGTGTAACCATTAGCCAATCACCAACCAAGGTAACCCCCCCCCCACCTTATCATCACCTGAATCTCCTCCTAGAGCACCATTGTGTTCTTTGTAACCAAATATCTCTCAGAGGGGCGTGGGGAGGGGCTCCTTATTTTCATCTAAAGTAACAGACAGAGAATCAGCACTTTGGAAACAGGGCTGAAACAGAGGGGATTATGGGATGCTGCAATGATCTGTTTGGTGTTTCAGCCAATCAGAGACAGGTTCTGGATATATCTGAGACCTATAATATGTTGATGAAAAACAGTATAATAGGGGACCTTTAAAATCAAATAGACTTGACTATTATATTAATATCATGTCATTATTATAGATACGGAAAAGAAAGAAGCTTTTGAACATATGGTGCATTGACACTTAATTAAGTATTAAAATAATATTGATTTGGTTGATGAAACAATCACGAGTAATCTGTTCAGCTTCTCTTACTGTTGTACCACCCTGCAAATAAAGCTTTTCTGAATTTGACAAAGTGTGTAAGTACTGTATACATGAATGCTTTTCTGTTCGTAGCCTCACACTCAGGTGTCAGATGTCGCTGTTCCTCCCCCATGGGAGTCAGTAAAAACATTGTCACTCTATGGGAAATGCTGCAGTCGAACAATGGGTGGATGTATTGTGATAAACTCACAGTATCTGATGTCAGGTCTGCAGGGTCCAGAGACATCTTAGCCACCGCCCGAGTGCAGTCCTTACCCACCAGAGCGTTGTAGGGAGCGTCTCTTCCATAAAACTCTGCAACGGGAAAAATAACACATCAGGAATTCTTAGTGGATACATGTGTAGTCTGAGTGCAGACACTTTCAAATGGGAGTCAATGTGTCTATGATCTAAAGCAGGGTTCGAGTTATAATCTGAGCTTTATGGGGGTCTTTAAAACTAAAGTTAGGAGCGGAGATATATATATCAATAACAGCCTGGTAATAACGTAAATAACGGGTGATATATACGGGTGAAGAATCTTCTTCGGGCTCGCGCAGCACGCTCACAGGCATAGATTGCGCACCTTGGAGGTGAAGTGCAGGCATATTGTCATTCAAGAGAGAATACGATGCGTAGCTCTTTTGGAAAACATGTGTTTCTTTTAGCCTGTTTACATCGTTAACGTAAATAATACATTATTACATAGATGCACTATTTGTGATTAAAATAATGGTTGTTGGTAATGTATTAGCGACCCCCACAGATGTATGATTTCACTGCTTTCATAGGAGCTCAGACCCTCCCATTGGCTCCCACATAACTCCAACCCTGATTGAAAGAAAAGGATGAAAGGAATATAAAAAGGTTAGAAAAGTGTCAAAAGAACTATAATTTCACGGGAAGACTAGGGGTAGAGGAAAGTGAGACTTTGGTTAGGGGTGTTGTCAAATATATGGAACAAAACTCCCAGAAACCTGCCGGTCCGCTGCAACTCTGACTACTTTTAAATCCTGGCTGAAGACTTTTCTTTTTGCCGCTGCTTTTAATTGAACTATTCACATCTCACACTGCACTGTAACTTGTATTCATGTTTTATTATCTTTGCTTTTAATGTTTCTAATGTGTTTTATGCTCCTAATGTCTTTCATTTTTGTGAAGCACTTTGAATTGCCTTGTGTCGAAAAGTGCTATATAAATACACTTGCCTTGCCTTACCTATTGTACTTTCTTTTGTAGTTTTGTTTGAATGGAAAAAGCACATTTAAAGGTGGGGTAGGTAATTTTGGAGAAACCGGCTCGAGATCGCTAGCATTTGAAAATACACAGCCGGAAGAAATCTGCTACTTCCTTACAGAGCCCCTCCTCCAACACACACGAACGCGCACATGACCAATGAGGGCAGGAGATAAGTTTGTGCACAGATGGAAGGCTGACAGGCAGGTAGGCCATCCAGTTATTTTAGCCGGGCCGGCTAAAATGATTGGTCGTGCTTTTTACAGTACTACGGCTTCCACAGATGACATGTTTTTATGGATTTTTTGTCAAAGCACTTAAGATATTCATTGCTATCAGGATGTTAAGAGCATTCCATGGAATATAACAAAAAGTGTATCTCGAGCCGGTTTCTCAAACTTACCTACCCCACCTTTAAGTTATCAGATGTTTATTTTTTATCTAGTAGATCATGATATATTAATTTCCCTCAGGTTTGTTGGAGGGGTTTGTTTACCTTTCCCCTTGGTGACATCAAACACAACTCCTTTTATCGCCATGTAGATCGGCTGACCCTCCTAAACAGGGCGGCAACACAACGGAGAAGATACACATGTTGATAAATCCAGATACAAACCGTTATCATGTACGTTACACACTCATGTACACATAGCAGTGGTGCAAAGTAACTAAGTACATTTACTCAAGTACTGTAATTAAGTACAATTTTGAGATACTTTTACTTTACTTGAGTATTTAAATGTTTTGCTACTTTGTACTTCTACTCCACTACATGTATTAATCCCTTTAGTTACTATGCAGATGTGGATGAATGATGTGAAATATAATCAAGTGTTAAATCAGGCTTTAGTTCCACCTGGAGTAAATTCACAAGCTACCCTGCAGTATACAAAGTCATTCAAACTAGCTGCACCTTTACCAGCTTTGAGAACACTTTCATGATCAATCATTATAAAACATATCATATATATTATTCTGAAATGGACCAATCTGCACAATGACTACTTTCACTGTCGCTACTTTAACTATATTTTGGTGATAATACTTTTCTACTTTTACTTGAGGAACATTTTGAATGCAGGACTTTTACTGTAACAGAGTATTCCTACACTCTGGTACTTCTACTTTTACTCAAGTACAAGATCTGAGTACTTCTACTTTTACTCAAGTACAAGATCTGAGTACTTCTACTTTTACTCAAGTACAAGATCTGAGTACTTCTACTTTTACTCAAGTACAAGATCTGAGTACTTCTCCCACCTCTGTACATCATTCATCCAAATCTGCCTAGTAACTAAATGTACTAATAAATGTAGTGGAGTAAAAGTAAATAATCGACCTCTGATTGGTAGTGGGGTAGAGTACAAAGTAGAAAAAAACGTAAAGAAATCAATGAAAATATGCAAGTAAAGTACAAGTAGCACTAGCAGTACTTGAGAAAACGTACTTAGTCACTTTCCACCACTGATCATAAACACACGCACACGCACGCGCGCACACACACACACACACACACACACACACACACACACACACACACACACACACACACACACACACACACACACACACACACACACACACACACACACACACACACACACACACACACACACACACACACACACACACACACACACACACACACACACACCTCTCCGCCGTCGTATCTGCTCAGCTCCTCCTCGGTGAAAAGTCTCACAGGTTCTCTGGAGGTTTTGTGTTTTAATTTTAAATCTTCCGCTAAAGTCGCAGAAAGGACGAGCAGCAGGACGCAGATTCTCGCTGTTGCCATGGCAGAAACTTCATCCACTTCCGTGTTGCTGCTGGAGAGAAGCGGTGATGCATTCAATGTCGTCGGAATATTGAGAGATTACCTCTCGACTGCGACCGATTCCATCGTTATATGAAGGACGGAACATGACATAAGTATAAATAATTAAATAAATACCTATATGTAAGAATAAATACAGGAATAAATGAATAAAAACGGAAATAAATATATTCATAAATAAATAAAAGAATGAATACACGTGGAAATAAATACAGGACTAAATAAATACAATAATACATATGGAAATAAATAAATAATTGTATAAACGCCTAGCTGGCCAACTTTTCAGGGACGCCCACCTCTAAGAGATGATTTTTTAAATACATTTTTTAAAACTTTTTTAATGCCTTTATTTCGTTTTTTTGTTTACTGGTTTAATCAGGGCCGTCCCTGGCCAACTTGGGGCCCCAAGAGACGCATCACCATGAAATGTGCAAATTGACATAAAAATGAATAAAAGAGGGAAAATGCTCCATGTTTTTTAGGCTGTAAACTTTAACTGTTATGTAAACCAACTAGACAGACAGTGTATCACTCTTCCTCCTGTACATTAGCAGATAAAAGGCATAAAATACATGAATGAATGGTAAATAAAGAATGCTGGAAATAACTGCATCTCCATTAGCCTATATGCTATGCAGAGACTGCCTTCTTCATGTCGTGAATTGCAGCTGATGTTTTAATATGGCAATTGGCAAAAGTTTGACATTTGACTTATACAACATTCGCAAGTTGTACATTTGACTCATACAATAACCCACCTTCGAGTGATGCTCTAGTTTCTTCATGTTTTTTTTTTTTTTCCCCTCTTGCTTGCGCCGGCCTGAAACTGTCTTTTTGCCGACATCTCTTCGCCTGCACTAGTGGCCGTATCAAAGCCGTGATTGGTCAGATGTCGATTCATTGCAACGGTGTCGGGTTACAGACGTGCTCCCCTTCCTTGTCACCTCTCACTCTCACTCTCGCGTGTCAGCGGTGTAACTTTTTACGAGTTACACCTAAAGGCAGCACTAGGTTTCAACCTTAGGGGGAAGGAAACAAGGAAACGTGAAAGACACTCATGTTTACTATTGGATCGCGGTCTGTAGGTGCTTCATTATCATGGGAGGAGATTTTAACGTTTACGCAAAACCTCCCATGGGTGTTGTTGTCTCTCTTTAGAGCAGTAAACAGGGACCTTAGAAGGAGGGAATTACATTTAATCTAAAATGTATTTCTTATTTATTAAAACTACTTTTCACACTTCGCACAAGTAGCCAGGAGTTTATCTTTGAAGAGCAGAGTAGTGTGTTTAAAGGAAGTGCAGAGGAATGGTCCGGAAAGAAAGATCCCGGTCATACGCAGAGGTAGGAAGTTTGTTTACAGTCTGATGTTTGTTTGGATAAATAGAAAGCATAAGTGTGTGTAATCTCATGTTAATATGAAGGGTCCTTAAAGTGTCCCTCAGCTCGCTGCACGTCATGTGACTTTAGAGCTGAGGCTGCTGTTTTCATGCTTCTTCTTCATGTGAAGAGCTAACCTCATTCGGACTATAGTTATTAAGTGGAAGTTTAACCCTTTTCTGAATGAAAGACAGACATGAGGTCTGTGTTCATGTATACTAGTAAAAATAAGTCTTAAATTACAATTACATTAAAGTACAAGTATCTCAAAAGTGTACTTAAGTCCAGTACTAGAGTAAATGTACTTAGTTACTTTACACCACTGGCTGTGTGTAGCAATATACTAAATATCTCACAAGGACTTTCATTTAAATACTTAAAGTAGCTTCATTTGCTGCTAATACCTTGTACTTTTTTTTTACTTTGCTTAAAGTGGACCTATCATGCTATATTTGAATGATATATTGTAGGACCATACCTATATAAGGCATATTTATACTTTTTCTTTTTCAAAATACCAAACAGATCATGCATTTTAGCCATGCCTCATTTCGCTCAATTTGAAAAATGTTAGCTCTGTTTTTGCAAGGGCTGATTCTGTGAGAACAGCACCATCTACTGGCCTGGCATATGTACTACAGCGTCTCCAGCGCTTTCGAACGGCAATGGCCGTGGCTGTCTCCTCCTGATTGGTGGAGTTGGCCCAATAGCCGTAGCGCCACTGTCCTGACGTCAAATCTGGATCAGTTTTTATCAGATCCGTTGCAGCCCCTATTTTAGAGATTTGGGTATGGAGGAAAATAGAGAGGGTTGTGTTTTCTGACACTTGGTGAGTTCCCTGGAACACCGGGGACACATATTCATGTATAAAAGACGTACAAAAGTGCATTTTGAATGATAGGTCCCCTTTAAAAATAAATAGCTTAAATGTTATCTGATCTTAATAATATAATATTTATTGATTGTTTGTGTTTTACTATTTTTTTATCAGAATCTGCAGATTAACTGGTAACTAAAGGTATGAAATAGATATAGTAAAAAGTCATTGGAAGTCAAAACACAACATGTAAACAGGAACAGGAACACAATCAATAACATTAACAATGAACTTAAAACAAACTTAAAAACGTAATATACATTTTCTAAATAACAATATAAATGAACAATGTAAAATTATTATAAAAACCCTTCTGAAATGTAGAAGTTTAATGTATTTTTTAAAGGTTTTCTCCACTGCTTCATATCCTTAACTTAGATTATCTTTCTTCGTTAACTTGTGCTTTAACTCCTCCTTCACCTCACAGTTTAATGATGACGATGATGAAGGAAACAAACAGTCGACAGGATTCTTCGACGATGCGATCGAGAAGCTGGACCGCGAGGAGACCAACGACAGCGTGTCGCCGGGTAAAAAACAACGTTTATCTAAAACAGCTACAGACGTCTTTAATACTTTACTCTGCCCTAAAAGGAGGCTGCAAAATATGACTGGCTTTAAGTGTCTCACATGTGAAATATTTTGGACATTTTAAATATTTTGTTTACCAAAATGTGCTCCTGGAAAAAATTCATTCTGCACAAAGTAATTATTACAAAAGTACTAGATTCGCACACAAGACTCAAATTGAAATAGTGGTTTAAAGGTGGGGTAGGTAATTTTGGAGAAACCAGCTCGAGTGCGCAAGAATTTGAAAATACACAGCCGGAAAAAATCTGCCACTTCCTTACAGAGCCCCTCCTCCCACACACACGAACGCGCACATGACCAATGAGTATGGGCTCAGAACTATGGGCTCAGAACAGTCTCATAATACACACATGCACACAGAAGGATTCACACTTGTATTTCATGATCCGCAAAAGGATTCACACTTGTGTTTGTCAATGCTCACACAAATGTGTTCCGTTTCATATACATGTAAATAAAATCCAAATACAGAAAAAAGTTTTACATATGTATTTTTAATCCTCACATATTTGTTTTCCGTTTAAATCCCCTGAACCTGCAAACACAAACCGCTTTCTGTGCATGGATCGCTGTGCATTCGTGTGTGGGTTTTTTGAGACTCCCCTGACGGTCACCCGATTCGTACTTGTAATTTTTTCTATCTATAGCCAATCAGATGTCTCCTTCATTCTAAGCCAATCACATGAGCGGGTCCCCACGAGGGTAGATTTATTGCGTTCATGACACTTCATATACGCATTTTGCGCTGTCCGGAGCAGGGTTTCCGCGGACAGAATTTATTTTACCGGACAAATTTGAAACTTACCGGTCATGTTTCAATAATAATAATAAGAAGAAGAAGAATTGTGTAGCAGAGTTTCCGAACTTACCGGACTATGACCGGATATGGCTAATAACACGGGAGTAAGGATCATCTCTTTTTTCCTCTCTCCCTCCCTCTCTCCTGACAGCCCGTCAGTTTCTCATGCAGCTCGCTAAAACTTCACTCGCGTTTATGTCCATATCGATCAGATCCAGCTCTCCTGATCGGCCTTTATAGAGAGCACCGATCAAACTATTAAGAGTGAATATCGGCCGATAATGACCGGCGGGGCTCCCCCCCGTTGACAGTTCACTGTCTAGCACTGGCTTCATAGTGCACTGATCGATTAGGCTAAGCTAACCTGTAGCTGCTCCCTCCACACTCACAACAACTTCATACAGACATAAATAAAGCAGCTGTATTTGCCATACAGGAAACACACATTTAAAACGATTTTGCCTGCCGTTTTTGTGTACACAAGCATTCATTAATGGTTCGGAAAGTGGCACTGTACCTTAATAATATAAAGGCTTGTATTTGCGTGCATTTCCTGCTCGGAAAGTGGCAATGTACTGAGAGTGGAAGTGTCCTGAGATTAGCGCCTGCAGGCAGGCTCCATGGACCTGTCAGCTCCGGACAGCGCAAAATGCGTACATGAAGCGCTACGTCATGAACGCAAGAAATCTACCCTCGTGGGGGCGCGCTCATGTGATTGGCTTAGAATTGAGAAGACATCTGATTGGCTATAGATAGAACAAATTACAAGTACGAATCGGGTGACCGTCAGGGGAGTCTCAAAAAACCCACACACGAATGCACAGCGATCCATGCACAGAAAGCGGTTTGTGTTTGTAGGTGCAGCGGTTTTAAACGGAAAACAAATATGTGAGGATCAAAAATACATATGTAAAACTTTTTTCTGTATTTGGATTTTATTTACATGTATATGAAACGGAACACATTTGTGTGTGCATTGAAAAACACAAGTGCGGATCCGGAAATACAAGTGTGAATCCTTTTGCGGATCATGAAATACAAGTGTGAATCCTTATGTGTGCATGTGTGTATTATGAGACTGTTCTGAGCCCATACTATGGAGAGGCGAAGTCCCTCCCCTTCCGGTTGAGCTCCATGGGACCTTATTTCGGAAAAGTTATGTATTGAAGTCAATGGAGAGAGAAAGATTATCTTTCGATCCCGTTTGAATTGTGCCACGAATTACACTTATGATGTTTGTCAATTTAAAAGATAATTTTGCAAGTCAAAAAAATTAAAATGTGTCGTAAAACTGTGAAGTAACACTTTTTTTGTGTGAAACCGCTCAATGAACTACATCTCCCGTCTCGCACCACACACCAAGACGGCCGTCACGTTGGCACATTTCACTTCTTTCTTTCAGAATGAGGCGGAAAGTATTAAAAGAGGTGAAAATCACTACAAGTCTGGGCATGTTGAGAGCTGTACATACACACAAGGAGTTAGTCGGTTCCGTAAGAGCCAGCATGCGGGACCGGGATTCTGGGATTTGTAGTCTTTCTAGTTGCATATTTTTCATAGTCTTATATTTCAACAGTTTTACGACAAACTGTGACTTTTTTGACATGGAAATTATT